TCGGTTTTTTTTGCTGCCTTTCCATAAAATCATCTCATTTCTTTCACTTTTTTCTTACCCTAGTCTGAAATTTCACCCTTCATTAGCCCTGTGTGGTGCAGCATTGGAGTATCACATCACATAAGATAAACGACAACTTCTGACCCAAGATATGTGGGTAAACTGACCATGTCCAGTGTCTTGGTGGGGGGAGGGGGCGGGGGGAGCTAGAAACTGGGATCCATCCTTAAGGATTGTGTGAAGCCAAATCCAGAAAAACAATGAAGTGATTTAGGAGTTGCCTAAATGTCCTCTTGCAAATATAAAATGAGCTCTGTTTTATTTACGACCATAGCAAATTTCAAACAGCTTTCAATTCCCGCCGGCAGTGAGAGTCTCCAGCAACATTAAGGCCCGAAAGCAAGGGCTTGGGCTCTGGTGGTGGAGAGCGCGGTGGCGGGGCCGTGACGGGGGTGGTGACAATGGGAGAGCTGTCGTTTGTTAACTGAGCACTGGAGCCAGGCTTCGTGTTCAGCACTTTACATACTCCTTCCTCACCTCATTTGCATGCCAGCTCTGAGGACGCGGGGCTGTCATCTCCGTTTTACGGGGGAGGAGCACGAAACTAGGCCACCAGAAGTTGGAATGACCTGCTTAGTGTCGTGCTTCGTGGGAGCTTCGCGCCAGAGCTGAGACCTTGTTGCACAGAGTTGGTTTCATCAGCTTTTTGACAGAAACTATTTACATCAAGGGAAAAAGAGCCACTTAGGACAGGAGAGTCCAGCCCCATTTGCATAATACTTTTGTAAGCACTGTCTTAATCTTCCCGGCCTGCCGGGGTGCATGGCCCTGTTGGCCCTGGGTTGCAGTTGTTCACACTGCGGGACTGGGGTGATTGACGCTGCTTAGGGTGACTTGGAGGAATTTCGGAATATTAGCATAAGGAGCAGTTCCTGGGTATGTGAGCTCTGTTTTCAGTTGAGCATTTGAGTGTTTTGTTGATGTTCTCATGGAAGAGACTGTTCCTTTCTAATTTTTCAAAGGGGGCTTGCTGCGTTCACGGATATACATTCTTCTCACGGGGCCTCACAGTACCCCATGGTTCTCAGTGGACGTATCTTAAAATGGACGTTAGTTATTTGGAGGACATTTCAAAATCAGGAACCTAACGGTGGGATTGTGCCTTGGTGCTCATTGGCTCTGTGACCTTGAGTAAGTCCTGTGACCTTTCTGGGCCCCACTTTTCCCTTCTTAACTCTAAGAGGGTGGGGTGTTCAGTGAGGATATATTAGAATTTCTGCTATGTGCTTTGAAAAAGTTGCACCTTCTTGAAATTTTTATTACTCAATAATATAATAATAATATTTACACTTCAATTCTTGTAAACATAGGAATAATTGTATATCTTACACACATTGAAAGACGAATGAGAAGCCATTGGAAACCAGCTTTAAACTCTGTTTCCCCAATGGCAAGGAAACGAGGTGCTGTGTTGATATATTTAGTCTTAGGGCCTAGGCTATGTTTTTATCAGGTTACTAAATCTCGAAAACTTGTCATTGCCAGCCATCCTTCCTTGCTTCCTTAATTTCTTTCTTTTTAAATAATTTAGTCAAAAAGCCATTAGGCAGGTATGAGCGAGGAGGCCCAGTGAGGCCAATGAGTAAATATATTGAAGGTAATGGGAACCAGACTTCAGGCTGTCAGAAGACAGTTACAAATATGAAAAGGGAGAAAGCTAGAGTGGACCCTGTGCTGTGAACTGGAATTTGAGATATTGGTGTGAACTGAAGAATTTTCATATGTAAAATTTTATAAATAGAATTTTCAGTATAGAAACAGATATTATAGTATATGTGTACATATATGTGAATATGTACATATATATATATATATACACATACATACACAAATTAAATGTGTCTATTTACTAACTCTGCTCACTGAAAGGGCCAGGATGTAGTGACATCCCAGTGAATATAAGCACATTTATTGTCCAGATCTTAGACTCTAAATACCAGTCTTTGCTAACAGGGACCATAGATCCTTGGAAAAAATGTCTGGTTCTAGGACTTTGGGAGGGAAGGTGCAAAATGAGTTTTGAATATCTTGTTGTGCAAGAAAATGTAGATGTTTTCAAAGAATAATGGGAAGATGCCAAAAAGACACAGCAGCCAGCTTGAAGGAATTCCCACTAGGCAAACCTGGGAATATTTGAGCATCAAAACAATAATATTATTGTAGATTATAGCCACTAAAACAAACCAGGCACCATGGGGCCATACTGATATATAAAAAAATACATGAATAAGTGGGGGAAAGCGGAGGTTTTTCCTTAAAATAAGATGCTGTCTGAAAAATAGAAAGACTTGAGATTAGAAAGATGGTGATTTAGCGATCATCATCAAAATTCAGGTAAGAAACATCAGCGGATGTTAAAACTAGTGAGTGGAAGTTAGATGAAGATCAGGGTATTTGTGTAATCGCAGAGTATCTGTCCACAAATCCTTATTATCGAGGGCAATACAGTAACTCTTCTGGAGAAACTTGGAAGACTCAACCCTAGTCAAGTAAGTGATCAAAGTTACTGTCACCAGTGATGTGACAAACTGACATCATGTGTCACTTGATGGGATGTAATCAGAACAACACAGCATTAGTTCCCCAAAATGTAATCCTTGAATTTTCTCATGAGAAAACCTGACTAGTACCAGTGGGGAGGCGTTCTGCAAAATAAGTAACCAGCAGTCTTCAATAATGTGAGCACAGTGAAGGTCAAGGGAGAGCTGGGCCTTGCAGCAGATACAATGAGACTGAAGAGAGAGGACAACTAAGCACAAAACGTCATCCTGGACCTGATGCTTTGGCTAGAAAGGCCATTATTCAAGTGGTTGGCTCAGCCTGAATAGAATCTCTGGGTGAGGAGAATATGGAAGTTTTTTGAACAGTTCCTACAACTATTCTGCAAGTTTGAAATTCTTATGAAATAAGTTAAATAAATATTAGCACAGGAAGGCTTAACTTTTAGTGTTTTACTCTATTCTACAAAGTTAAAAGAAATAGTTTCTGAAATCTGTTTTATTTTATATTTTATTTGTATACAAATCTTAATGGATTTTAACCACTAAATCAGACTTTTAGTTTTGGATTTTTGTGAAATTATTGTGTAGAAGAATATAGTTACATGAAATCAGGGCCTTTGTGGGCATGTGTTATGGTTTGTACAACTACACAAATTCACTGAACTTTGAGACAAAAATCGGAACGTTAGGGTGTTTTAGAGTCAACACTATGAAAATCATAATAATGGTGAGGCATTTTAGATTAGTGGGATTATGAGTGACAATTCTGGATTCATACAACCTGGGCTCAAATCCTGCCTCTGCCAGTTACTAGATGTGTTAAACTGAGCAAGTGAACTAACCTCTCCGTTTCTTATCTTGTTGGTAAAATAGCTAATAATAGGACCTATGTCATGGAGTTATTGTAAGTGCTATTACCAGTAAAGTGCTTAGAGGGTATTTAGTGTAGAGTAAATGCTAGGCAAGTGTTTATTATTATGGTTGTCACTGTGGATGCTGCTACCAACAATATCTATAATTTATGTAAAGACTAGAGAAGCTAGGTAAAGGAAATGCCATTTAGTAGTTGAAAATTTGTTCCCCCCTCACATAGGTGGATGCTAGCATCTTGTACTGATCCTTTATGATGCTTCCCTGATCCCCAAAGCCAACCCCTACCCTTAAGCATACCTTAGGACTTTTTTTTTTACTGTTTTATAAGGCGGAGGCCACACATTTTAAATGTTCAGGAAGGAAAGTGGAAATAAAGACAGGATCAAAGCAAAAGACAAAGAAAACAAGATTGGAGAATCAGAGAATCAAGATCCAAAGAAAAATGTTTACTTTGGCAGAAAGACCTAGGAAATAAAATGACTGCAGGTCTTATTTCAAGTTCACATATTGAATCTCAACATGTTTACATATTTGCAAATGTAAGTAAATTTATTCACCAAATGGAGCCAGCTCACATAGAATATCCCCGAAGGGAGGGGGCTGTACTGCTAGGCAGTGTTGTCCGTGATGTATTCAGCATCCTGCCACCTGCTCCGGGCTCTTAAGAACTCCCTGTCCCCAAAGGGTTTTTGGTCAAGTACATGGCGTATAATATATAATCCTTAATAGTGTTAAGCATTATGCATTTTTACTTATTTATACTCTCTTTTCCGAAAATAATTTGAAAAAACTGAATTGTCTATTAACCTAATAATGCTGGTTTGAGCAGTGCCTACAGGGATGGATAATGGGTGACTAATCAGAGAAGAAAACATACTGGCAATAGAAGAGGTGAGGGCTTCACAAAATATATGCTTTCTTTTTTCGTTGATTTGGAATTTTAGAACTATACACACATTAGTGGTCAACTAGTTGAGCAAACTCGGGCATAGCTGATCTTGAGAAACATAACACATAGCCCATTAGTTGTCGTTTTTAAAAATTAAACCAGGTTCCCTCCCCTTAATTTAGTCTCTTTTCTCTACATCATCCTAACATGGAATATTTCGAATTTTGGATCACACATATATTTTGAGAAATACTAGCAACCAAAGGGGAATAAAACAACTAGAATTCCTCATACATCTCAGCTTTAAGAGTCTTCGGAGTATTGTATCTGGACATATGTCAAGGCATTCTCTGTAATGATTAACAACTCAGAACCTGCAACCAAAATCCCTGCATTCAAATCCTGGCTCTCGTATGTATGAGTTGCTACATTTCTTTTCATCTGTAAAATAGTGTTGGAAGAAGAAACCAATGAGGTTACATGTGCAATAGTACCTGCTACATAGGAAACTTAAAAAAGAATCATAACTAGTATATATTTGTCTAATAAGTGGAAATCAAACACTTTAGTACTTTTTGAAGACTTGGGACATTTCCATGACCCAGTAGTAACCACACAACACCTTTTTTTATTTCCTTCACACAGTGTGCTGATAAGTCATTGGCTTCTGTCCATAGGTACGATCATCTGGTGGCATCATTCCGTTTTCATATTCCATGGAGATCTAGATCTTGATTTGGACATTTTGGACAAAATGTTCAGTGTCTGACTTGACATCAACATTACCAATGAAGGTAAGCTAATCTTATTTATTTCAAAGCATGGAAAATAAAAACATGTTTGATCGAGAACATACCAAATTAGATTTTGGTTTTTTAATGTTGAAAAAATTACGAAAACCAATTTAAAAATAAAGATACAACGAACAAAGAGAAAAACTTTTTCCCTTAAAGTGATGAACAGCTTCATAAAAGACATCTTTCTGTCAGTTTTTGAAGTCTACAGTACCTAGTTGTTGGAATAATATAAGTACGAGGAAACTGCAAATTAAACCAAGAAGCTGCTTACTGCAGGCCTTACAGGAGTGATAAGCTGGCTAGGAAAGCCTTGGAGATGCAGCAGGGAGAGAAATGAGAGCCTCTCACACTAGTCCAGGGATCCCGGAGGCTTGACAGAGGGAACATCTCTTCTGCCCATGTGGTGCCTAAGTCGACTATTTTGTAATGTTAAACATGGAATTTTTTTTAAAACCAAATTTGGAAAACGTTCAATAACTGGCTTACTTTCCAGTCATCTCTTCTCTATAGAGGTCGTTCTTAACTTCCATTCACCTCAAACTTCCTGCCCTGCCCACTTGCTGCTGATTTATCTCATGGTCAGGAGAGAAGCGTTAGACACCAACACCCTTAGCTTCTGCCTCTACAGCCACACAAGCAGGCTGCTCCCGCCCTCTGGGCCTGGGCCCTGATGGAAGGTGGGCCACCCCCCTCAGTCCCCCTCAGTCCCCCTCAGTTCCCTTTTTCTGTGCTCTGGAATCCATATCAGCCTCCACTTTCTCTTCATTATCTACCATTCTTGTCACACTTTCCGTCTTTCTTTTCATCTGCTCAACATTTCTTTTTTCTCTTTTTTTAGATGAGATATAATGCATTTGTTTCAAATTGTCCATTTTGAAGCGACAATTCAGTAGTAGGATATTCACAGCATTGCCAGATTCTCACCATGATGTCATTCCAGAGTATCTTCATCACCACACGACGAGACCCCTTACCCATTTATGGTCACTCCCCATCCCCCTCTTCTCCCGGCCTCTGGAAACCACTAATCTACTTTCTGTCTTCTACACATTTGCTTATTCTGGACATTTCATATAAATGGAATCATACAACTTGTGGACTTTTGTGTCTGGTGCCTTTCAGTTAGTGTAATGTTTTCAAGGATCAGCCATGTTCATACATCCTTTTATTTTACTTATTTATTTATTTATTTATTTATTTATTTATTTATTTATTTANGTTTTCAAGGATCAGCCATGTTCATACATCCTTTTATTTTATTTATTTATTTATTTATTTATTTATTTATTTATTTATTTAACTATATCTTTATTGATTTCAGAGAGAGGAAAGGAAAGGGAGAGAGAGATAGAAACATCAATGATGAGAGAGTCATTGATGGAGCCCGCAACCCGGGCATGTGCCCTGACCGGGAATCGAACCCAGATTGCCTGGATCCCAGGTTGACGCTCAACCACTGAGCCACACCCGGCCGGGCTTCATACATCCTTTTAATAGGTATTAGTTCTTCATTCTTTTTTTATGACCAAATAATACTCCATTTTGGAATGTAGCACATCTTGTTTATTCGTTCATCAATTGATGGACATCTGGGTTGTTTCTACTTTTTGGTTATTTTCAATAATACCACTATTAGCATTCCTGTGCAAGGTTTTGGGTGGATGTATGTTTTCAGTTCTCTTGGGTGTATATCTTGGAGTGAAATAACCGGGTCATAGGGTAATTCTATGCTTAACATTTGGAAGGAACTGTTCAATTGATTTCCAAAGTGGCTGAATCGTTTTACATTCCCTCTAGGAAAGTATGGGGGCTCTAGTGTTCCACATCTTCCCCAGCCCTTGTTGTCAGTCTTGTTTATTAAAGCAATCTTAGCAGATGCAAAGTGGATACTTCCCTCGTATTCTCTTTCAGGCATCACTTCCTTTGGGGAACTCTCCTGAACACTCCTGACCTCTCCCCTCTTCGGGGGGTGTTGAAAATCCCTCCTGTATATTTCCATAGCATTCTGTGCTTATCCTTGGATCCTCCTCACACTGAACTATAATTGTCTGTTAACTTTATCTCCTCCATTACATGTGAACGTATTAGTGAGAAGAGTAAAATATTATTTTCTGTGGTGTATCCCAGGATTAACACGTGCCCGACACAGTTCTTGAGGTTTATCTTTTTTGGGGGGGAGTGGGGCAAGTGGAAATATTCCTTGGTATTTCTGTATTTGTTAGCTGATACTTAGTGCTCTGGGAGAGAAGATAGGATTTTTTAGCCTGTATGTTTGATTGGTTATCTAGAAAGTTATTTTTTTCTTTACTGTTGTGCTAATACAGTATAGTTCCTTAATTTACCAAGAAGTTGGAAGGAAAGAACTGAGGATACCACAGAGTAGCTCCGTAAGGGGAAAGCACCTAGGTGGCTTTAAAAATATAAATCTACTAGTCACTTTTACTTTGACCATTTTAAAAAGCATAACTGACTGAGACTGACTGTCCTTTAAAGAAAATACTACCAGTTACATACACTAGACTAAAACAATTGCAAATGTAGATAGAAGTGAATGAGAGTATCATGAGATTTGTAGACCTTCAAAACTAGTGCTCAATTCTGATGGAGTTTAGTTACAAGTATCAGAAATCTGAGATTCATTAGCATCTGAGTTGAACAGATAGGGATCAGTGCTGGGGTTAAAAGCTAGAAGTAGAATGAAACATAATTAAAGACTTTAAAAAAGTTTGAATTAAAAAGTACACTTTGAATGTTGACTCATACTAAATTATAAAGCCCTGTGCATGAATACAAATTAAAAGACATTAAATTAGTTCTTCTGAGAATTTCTCCCCCAAAATCTTTTTCTTTCAAATCAATATTTAAGTAATTTCATTTCCAGTTGTTTATGATCCCATAAAGATTTGTTTTATTTTAGTGTTTTGGGTTATTCTTAGTTGAAATGAGGTTATCCTTGGACTAGATAGCCATTCCTTTATTTGATAGTGTTTTCAGTGTATTTTTGGAAACTCTATTCAGCTTCTTTGCTATGGTTTCTGTATGCTGCTGGAATGAAGAGGAAATGGAGGAGGGAAAGAGAGAGAGAGAAACAAATGTAAGTTGGCCTTAGATCAGTGAGATAGTATCAAATGAGGCCAAAATGAATTTGGCAGATGCTCTTCTCATGTTTCCCACTCGAGCACACACATATTGTAACTTGGAATACCACTTGCATTTCTTTCATACTTAAAAGACCTTTCTTCAGCTTCAGTAATAAACTTGAACTTCAGATAGGAGCCAGGAATGAAGATTGAGGCTTTTTTAAAAAAAGGTCTAAATGTACTTAGGACATTTTACTATCAAGGGGAGGTTAGTAAATAACGCAGTGGATGTGTTTTAAGTATAGAAATGAAAGTGGGGACGAGCAAAGATAGTGAAAGGGGTAATATCTTCGGTGTCATGTAGGTCTAAGCTTGAATACACATTTTTATCACTGAATTAGGTGCATGACTTCTGAAAGTTAATCTGCCTAGCTTTCCTTATATGTAAAAATGGACATATTAATTTTTATTTTCTAGGGTTGGGATAGTGAATGAATTTAAGGACACATAGAAATCACTCAACAATGGTAGCTATTTCAAAATTATCTTATTTACTGGGAAAAAAGTGGCTCAAAAATTCTTAGAAAAAAGGTAGATTTTCTTATCAAACAATCTGTTGACTATTAGCTGGACATTTTATTCTCACGATGTTCAATTTAAATATATTTCCATACGTACACATGGTGAACAAAGTAAAAAGTGAAAAACCTTGAGTGTTGGAGAAGATAAGCTTGTATAGCCAAAATAGTACAGTACCATGTAGTAGTATGTATTTAATGAAAGTTTATTAAAATTGGGAGTAGAAGGGGAGCCATTATTTTTTTCTTGTGCTATTTAGGTCACTGAAGACAACTGAGAAAATTAGCCTTTATAAAAATGCATAATATCTATATGTCTTCAGAAGAAATATATATTTATCTCCTATATGTTTCAAATATATACTTATATATTTATATATACTTATATATATTTATATATATTTATATATATTTGAGAGAGAGAGATATGTTTAAAATATATCTCTTAATATATATCTCCAAAGGGAAAAGAGCGAGGTAACCTTCTAAAAAGTGTACTCCTATTATTTTTAAAAAATTTCTTTAAGAATGAGTTTAGGTCACAAGGAAGTGCAAAAATAATAGAATTCCCATGTAGCCTTTGCCTAGCTTCCCCTATGATAGTATCTTGAATAACCATAGTAAACTAGGAAATTTCCAGAACTTAAACCATTCTACTCTTTCTAAATAGGAAAAATTCTTTAGTTCTCACTTATTTGATCTGCAATTAAATACACTTTTTGAGGATCGGTACATTTAATGTTAAGACATTTTGAAGTAAGAAACACCCTGGGTTCAGTCTTGGCCCTGCCAGTAACTCATTCCTGTGGCACCCTGAGGACTTTCCCTGGCCTCTCTGATGGTCTGTTTCTTCATCTATAAAAGGCGATATCGCTTCCCTTGCAGAATTGTCGTAAGGACTGGCAGTTGTGTGTGCTAAAGAGCCTTTTCAGTAAATGCTAGTTTCCACTATTGGTCTTTTACTATGTTTTCATCAAAATGGGAAGTAGCAGATCATTGTCTTTAACGTGGTACGTGTACTTTTGCACTTTGTGAATACCTGTGAGTTGAAGGACCAGTCGTTGGTAATATGCTGAAACAACTTCATGGTTCCCCTGTGTTCATCTCTTCTTAACGTACCTGCTCCATAGCATATTGGCTCGCCTCCCCTTTCCCCTTGCCTTGCTTGTGCAGCCAGCTCATCTCTCTCTCCTGTTTTTCTACCTGGTAGTCCAGAAGTTATTCCTCTCATTCTACAAATTATGTTTCTTCTCCAGGTGCCTTTTGTTATATGGATTCTACGTAACCTAGTAAGTTTTAGAATTTTGTTTTATTTTAAATAACACCTAGCTTAATTCTG